GTATTCCAGGTGAAGCCTGACCAAAGCAGAATAGAGTGGCACTATTTGTGACATTTCCATTGTTCTCAATAAAAATGCTACCCTGACTGGATTTCAAAATATTTCAGAAACAAATCTTTCCAGGAGTGCACAATGCCTACTTTATATTCCTCCTGCTCTATTCTAGATCCCTTTGGCAATAATAGATTTCCTGTTCTGGGCAGCCACCGTGTGGTTTCCATGTGAAAATGCAGCCTCCATCCATCATCAGAAGCATTATTTTGGGTTCCTAGCCAGTGCCCTGTAATGTTTTAAGTTCTGGGCTAGGACTCCTGGAGACCAGAGTTCGAATCCCTACTCAGCCAAGGAAATCCACTGAGTGACCTCTCTCAGCCAAAGAGGTAAACCTGCTCTGTATAAATCTTGCTAAGAAAATCCTAAAACCGGGTTGCTGTACATTGGAGTAGACTCTAAAGGCATGGAACAACAATGACATCCCTATTCATGTCACTATACATGTCCAGTGTAATGTGTGCATGGGGCAATGTATGCCAATGTTTAACACTTGGGTTTGTACACAACAGTAAAAAGCTTAGCGCAACATGAAGAATTTTTTGGCAAGATTTTTGTTGCAATGTTAATTCTTTTAAGGTATGCTTCCTATTTCATCTTGCAAATTGATGGAAAATATTTTCAAAGTGTTTTTGCAGTAGCTTCATGAAGACTTCAATTTAGGTTTCTTTATGCTTGTTAGTAATTGCAACCACTGTCCCCTCGATAGCTTTGATAACAAGTCGCATACTACCTATACCTTACCATTTCCTAGTGCTGCATTTGAAAAGCCTTTCACACTACACTATGACTTCACTTTAACTACCATGGTTCCATCCTATGGCATCCTGGGATTTGTAGTTCAAGGAAGGGTACTTAAACTTCTCAGCTAAAGAGCTGTGGTTGAACAACAAAACCCACAATTCCACAGGTGATGAAAGAATTATAACGTGGATTTTGGAATTAGTTAAAACAGCTTATTGATTTTGCTAAGTTTGTCAGAACTGAACAAACAGGCCTTTGCTTTAGTTAGGCTCCTAAAATTTCAGCTTTTTCCTGTCACGTTTCGGCACCCTCATAGATGTCTCCTCTGCCAAAGAGTGCTGGTGCCTCACCAAACTACCAATCCCAGGATTCTGTAGGATAGAGCTCCATCAGTTAAAGTGGTGTCAAACAGCATTATTTCTATAGTGTAGATGCAATCTCTGAGTCCTAGTTCAACACCCAAACTTTGGTCTTCCACATGTTTTGGACTTCAACTCCCAGAAGCCCTAACTACTTTGGCTAACAGTCAGGAATTCTGGGAGCTGAAGTCAGAAAAAACATCAGGAGGAGCAGAGTTTGGAAACATGATTCCCAAACTCAGCTCCTCCAGGTTTTGGGAACCTCAGTATCCAGAAGTCTCAAAGCCTTTGCAGACTGCCAGAAATAGTGCACATTAAATTGAGGCACTGCCCTGGCTCAGTGCTAGGGAGTCATGGGAATTGTATTTTTTTCTGAGACATTGTACCTTCTCTGTCAGAGAGCTCTGGTGCCACAATAAACTACAGTTCCCATGATTCCCTAGCACTGAGCCAGGGCAGTGCCTCAATTTAATGTGCACTATTTCTGGCAGTCTGCAAAGGCCCTCAGTTATCTTGGCCTATGGTCTGGGATTCTGGGAGCTGAAGTCCAAAACACCTGGAAGAGTTTGGGAATTACTACTGGGATAGTGGTTTGAGCATTGGACTAGGATTATGGGGACCAGGATAAGAATCCTTGCTTGGTCATGGAAACCCACTGGGTGACTTTGGGCAAGTCACACTCTCTCAGCCTCAGAAGATGGACATGGCAAAAAAACCCAAACCAACCCTCTGAACAAAAGTTGCCAAGAAAACCCCATGGTAGGTTCACTTTAGAAATGAGGAAATAAGGATGATGGTTTAAGGAGATGAACAGGGAGAGAAGGAAGAAGTGGAGAAAGGAAGGAGGTTGAGGAAGGAAGAAAGTAAGGGGAAAGTAAGTGAGAAAGAATAAAGAATTAGAGGTGCAAATAATAGGTTTAAGTAAAGTGAATAGGTAAAGTGTGATGGTGCGAAGTAGATTAACAATGATTTAGTAAGATAGAATATGGTAAGAGTAATATATGAATGATTGTAAGTTTATTCACATGAGAATTATATGTGAATGATTATGTGAATGATTATAATGAAGTTTTTAAATATATTAGAGTGTATTTGTATGTGGCTATGTAGTTGTATGTACTTTTTTCTCTTATTTGTTTAAAATTAAACATATTTTAAACGACTTGAAGGCACACAATAACAACAACAATAGGACTGTGATGAGGCAAAGTTAATATAGGAAGTAGAATTAATTTATTTAAGAAAGGGTTGAGTGTTTATCAGTTTTACCAAGCAGGCTTTAAAAATTAGGTTTATGTATGATAAGTATGGTATGTCTGTTTTAGGACGTTTGAGAATGTTGTGATTGATTCGTATTATGTATTTTATATATATTGAATTATAATAAAGAATAATTTAAAATAATAATAATAACAACAATAAACCAGGCTGACTCTCAAAGACCAAGGAAAGAACTAAAAACACTCTCCCTCTCCCCTCCCGTCGTCTTAAAAAACGGAACCAACCGTTTCCCCAACTCAAAAAGTCGGCCTCTGATAGGCTATCGTCGCGCGCATCTTGACCAATAGCAAGCGGACTTTTGCGAGGCAGGTCGAACGCCGCGGCGGCCATTTTGCCGGTGTTTTCATTGGCCGGCTGCTGCCTCAGGTGGACGAGTCGCTCCGTTGCCCGCCTCCCCTTTCCAAAGCGTGAGCTGCGCAGTGGACTTCTGCGCAGGCGGGTCGTCGTCTGTCAGTAGAGGCCGGTTTCTGTGAGGGGAGAGGTCTAGTTTGTTATTGGGGAGCTTCCTCCTCGTCTTCCGGAACTCTTGCCTGCCCCATAAAGGGACCTCCTGCCCCATGGGGATCTCAGGGCTCCTCTACGCCTAAACTCTTGAATCATTGTTGTTTTTCTTCCAGCAGGTGAATAGTTTCCTGGTATGGTGGAGGGGAACCGGTGCGAGAAGCTTTGTTGTTGTTTTTGTTGTTGTTGGGTGCCTCCAGGTTGGGCGCCCATTGGGTTTTCTTGGTAAGGTTTCTTCAGAGAAGTGGTTTTTTTTTTTGCCATGGCCATCTCCTGAGGCTGAGAGAGTGTGACTTTGCCCAGGGTGGGGTTTTATATTCGAGCAGGGATTTGAAACCTGGGCTTCATCCACACTGCAGAAATAACCCAGTTTGGCAACAGTTTAACTGCCCTGGCTCAGTGCTGTGGGATTCTGGGATTTGTAGTTTTGTGAGACTGCCAGAAATAGTGCAAATTGAGTCCACTTGAACTGACTTGGCTCAGTGCTAGGGAATCATGGGAATTGTATTTTTTTCTGAGACATTGAGCCTTCTCTGTCAGAGAGCTCAGGTGCCACAATAAACTACAGTTCCCATGATTCCCTAACCCTAACCCTAACCCTTAAAGTGGACTCAATTTGCACTATTACTGGCAGTCTGCAAAAGCCCTATATCTTCAATGCAGATGCATCCCAAGTCATTTATGATTTATGGCCACTCTGATGCAAACCAATCATAGGGCTTTCTTGATACGTTTCTTCAGAAGGGGTTTGCCATGGCCATCCTCTGAGACAAAGAGTGTGACTTTGCCCAAGGTCACCCATTGGGTTTTTATACTCGAGTGGGGATTTGAAACCTAGGCTGTATCTGCACTGCAGAAATAATCCAGTTTGGCACCATTTTAACTGCCATGCTCAGTGCTGTGGGATTCTGGGATTTGTAGTTTTGTGATACATTGAGCCTTTTCTGTCAGAGAGCTCTGGTGCCACAACAAACTACAATTCCCAGTATTCCATCACCTTCAGTTGTGGCTATTAGAAGTGGCGTCAAACTGGATTATATCTCCAGTGCAGATGCAGCCCAAGTAATTTATGACTTATGGCCACCCTAAGGCGAACCTATTGTAGGGGTTTACTTGGTAGGTTTCTTCAGAGGGGATTTGTCATTGATGTCCTCTGAGGCTGAAAGAGTGTGACTTTCCCAAGGTTACCCATTGGGTTTTTATACTCAAGTGGGGATTTGAACCCTGATCTCTAGAGCTGTAGTCTGACATGCAAACCACTACACCATGCTGGCTCTCATGCAAGAAGCTTTATCTGCTGGATTTCTTTGGGCCTGGCAGACAGGCTTAGGAGCCCTAAGAGGGGTGGGCGTCTCTGCTGCATTCTTCTTTTTATTCCTGCATAAATTTGTTGGCCAGGAGTGCACCATTCGTGATTGGCTTTCTTTGTCTTGGTTCATCCTGAGTGATTCAGGACTGAGATGCAGAATATGGTCTAGTCATCCCCCTAGTCTTTCTGCCCCAGGTGCCCCCTGCATCTTTTGATAATGCTTGCTGGGGATCATCTGGGGTGGGCTGGTTATCGTAATAGTTCAGCAGGATAAGCAGAACTGGATTTACATGCAAGTTTAATAAACCACAAATTAAAGGCTTGGATTATGAGAGGCCTCTCAGAATCTTTTTTTTAAAAAATCAAGTTTTATATAATTGTTAGAATGGTACATGCATTGGGGCCACTTAAATTTGGTATAGCTCCGGGCCTCAGCACATCTTAATCTGGCCCTGTATATGAGGATGGATTATTTGCCATGCCATCCTTCAGTATGGCTGCATCCTCATTGCAGAAATAATCCAGTCTGACACCACTTTAACTGTCATGGCTCAATAAGGTGGAATTCTGGGATTTGTAGTTTTGTGAGACATGTAGCCTTCTCTGTCAGAGAGCTCTGTGCCACAACAAACTACACATTCCATAGGCTAGAGCCATTAATGTTAAAATGGTGTCAAACTGAATTCCGCAGTGAAGATGCAGCCTATAATGTTTATGGGGGAGAATCAAATGTGCTTGTGATTGTATGCATAAAGAATCAGTAGTGATGATTGTGTAATTGGCACAGAATATAAGAGTTTTATTTGATGTATGCTGCTGCATCAGATTTGTAGGCAGCATCCTTCCTCCCACTCCTGAGTCCTTTGTGCAGTCTTCCCACTGCTCTGCAGTCTATGGGACACATGGAGATTGATACTTTGATTGTCATGCAGTTCAGGGACCTCCTGGGGTTTTAGGTAAACAAGTAAACCTGTTGTATATATCTTTGTTTTTTATGACTTGTCCAGTTGTAGTGAAGGCAGTTGCTGTGCTGGGAGCAGTATGAGCATTGGGTTTCTTGAAATATTGTGACTGATTGTTTGCTTTGGACTGGGGCAGGTATAGAAATAATTGTTTCATTATTTTTAAATTATTTTTGTTTGCCTCCACTGATGTTCACATTTACAGTATGCAGGTGTTGGAGCGTGAAGGTGGGACAGCCACAGGCAATGGGCTAGACAGCCCCACAGCATCTGATGTTAAGCCAGTTTCTCCTTTACCCACCAAGCCCCCTCCCTTGGACCTCTTCAATCTAGTTGTGTCATATAAACGGCTGGAGCTGTACTTGGAACCACTGCAGGATGTTGCCGAAGGGGTGTGGTTCCTCCTCAGGTAGGTGTCCTGTTCTGTACAGGGCAGGGGTGATATGGTAGCTCTGTTGGCTACTGTCATCCTTTTGGGGGAAGTGTAGATCCTTTGTAAGTACCTATGCTGATGGACAAAAGGAAGAAGGGAGGTCTATTTGATCTATTCATTAGTCTAGAAATTGCATGCCTTCACTAGTGCCAAGAGATTGTAGGTAGGCTATATTGGTACCTCTGTGAGAGACTGGGTGTAAGTAAGAACGGCTAAGGTATTTGTAACTTGGTCAATGGCCAAAAGTACAATGCTTGTGGATGGATAGGTTGCAGTGAATATGTTTGGCCTTTCCTTTTGCACATCATTTTTGTGTTTAAAGGCCATTACTTCATTATTTTTTGCACCTTGGTATGGCCCTAATGTTAGCCTGTCTCCTCTTTCTCCATCACCCTTAAGTTCATGCCTCCATGAACTGCTACAGCACTTCATTATGTCTGTTCCACAGCTGGCAGATGCCTCTCTGTTCCCTCCTAACTTGCCTGGGGCTCAACTTTCTGCTGCTGACCCTGAGTGAAGGTGAGAAATGTTGGGTGTCTGTGCTGGGGATTAGAGAGGACAATACACTTTCTTCCAGCATGGTGGGAGTTAGAGGCAGTGGAGCTGATGAGTGGTGAATGGAATATAATTTCATGTAGATTGGCCAAAGGATGTGCTGTGAAAAAGTGAGGGAATAGTCGGCCTGACTGGCAGAGTTTAATTAGGTAGCTTGAGCAGGAGATGGTGGTAATATTTGACAAGAAGTTTAGTGACCTAATCCATTCTGTTTCCATTCCACCTTCCAATCTAGCTGCTTGGTATGGGTTGTTTCTCCTACTGATCGTGGTGCCTGCCATGCTGGGCTACTTACAGGAAACATGCCGCATCCACTTGAGTGAAGAAGAGCTGGCACGGCGTAGGTACCACAGTGTGCGACGTGAAGATGTGAGAAAAGTTCAACTTACTCGAAATGAGGCTGTGGCTGAAGTGAAAGGCTTGTAAGTGTGTTGGGAAGCAGAGAAATGGAGACAAGGGGTGGGCTTTCAGAGCCTGCTTGGAGTATGTGATTGGGGATGCTGTTTGATAATATGTAGGAGCTTTGTGTACTTCTAAGGAGTCTTGTAAGCAAAGCCCATGTTGGACTTTTCCCCATTTCCTCTTATTTTGTGACAATTTTTCTGTTTCTGTATGAATATTTCCAGGGTGGAGAAGTGATGTGCTACACTTTTTACTGAATGCTTTAAATCAGGGGTAGGCAACCTTTCCCCTTTCAGCTCCCAGAAGCCTCAGCCATGTTGGCCAATAGTCTCATGTTGGCCAATAGCTCCTGGGATTCTGGGAGCTGAAGTCCCTCGGCCCTTAAAGGGGAAAGGTTGCCTACCCCTGCTTTAAATTTTTTATTCCACAGAATGGCTGTGACAACCTTTCTGTGCTACTTTCATTTATGATGTCAGCTTTTGTCATTTCCTGTGCTTTGCCTTCTGTGATCTTACATGCTTCATCTTTGGTATCCATTCCACCTCTTTTAACCAGCCATTTTTCCCCTTGAGTTATTAATTCTTATGATATATTGTTAGGGATATTTCAAGTATACATCTATAACTCTGGCACATAGTTGTGCATACTGAAAGGATTCCCATCACAGCCATGAACATGTGTAGAGGCAAAAGTGTGTAAAATCGCATGTTCGTCTTCTCATTTTATGTTTTGCATGACTGACATAAAGAGCCATGGAGCACTAGCACAGTTTGAAGTGTGTTGCAGGGGGATTTTTAATGGGAGTTGGGAAGCAAGTGGAGTCTTTGTCCTCAAACTGCCCTGATGTATACCACAACATTCCCCCCTCCAAAAAAAGCAGAGCACAAATATACACAAGTAAGCACAGAAGTATGGCAGGTAGGTATCTATCAAATCTGATGCTTAGGATACTATATGTCATTATAGGTGCGAGTTAATTTGCCATATCTCCACAGTGTGCGATGTGAAGATGTGTGAAGATGTTCAGCACTGCAGTATGGAGAAGAATTGGGCATTGTCTGTGGAGAATATAGATCTACATAGCACATAATGATAATTGTGCTTTTAAGAACTGTCTCAGTAGTGCAAGGAACCACACATATCTATGCCTCATAGGTTAGCTGATCTTTAAGATGCAGTGTTGTTGTTGTGTGCCTTTAAGTCAATTCTGACTTATGGTGATCCCAAGGTAACCTATAATGGGGCTTTCTTGACAGGTTTCTTTAGAGGGGGTTTATCATTGTCCTGTGAGGATGAGAGAGAGTGACTTGCCCAATATTACTTCAGTTCATTCATGGGAGGGGGCATCAAACTTTGCAAATGTAGATAAGACTCTTACACTGAAGGGAGAATTACTAAGCATGTGTATTTTCCAAAGTGGTATCTGTGCTTGTTGCAACAAAGCCCACAAAAAAAACCTGTATCTTATTCAACCAATTAGTATAGCATGAACTTTAATGAAATATTGTCTACTTTGTTGGATGCCTTAATTGTTATCAAGAATTTTAGGAGTGTGTATATGTATTTGTATTTTATATGTACAGGTTGTCCAAAATTGTGTTTACAGTTTCAGTTCTATACAAGAATGAAATGGTGAAGATAACTTTTGGACCTCTTGCATATAATGTAAGATTGAGGATGGAATCTTAAACGAAGAGGTCAGGAAAATTAAATGCAGAAAGTAATGGTGTGAACTGTATATATATTTGTAATTCTGAATAGCGGTGTATCTGATGAGGTCAGCTGTAGTCCATTAATATAGTTCATGCTATATTCAATTTGTTAATCTTTAAGGTGCAACAGGACCCTTTATTGTTTAAGCATCTGCATGGCTATGCTTCTCACGTTTCAAAAGTGTGCATCCCCATTCTAAAACAGTGGATCGATTTCAATCACCAAGCAAGAAACCTCATTTTTAAATCATTGATTTTAATCAACTTTCCCATTTCTATAGTTATTTTTTCCAAAGAAAGTTGTGTTTTTGCTGATTGACAAAGCTATTAAAACATATTGATTCACAACTAAATGTAATCATTTCTCGAGATTTAGAGCATCTGTTAACTACTTATGAGTAGGACATGACATTGGTGCATACATTTTAAAACAGTTATAAATACTGCAAAGGCACCAGATCTTGTCTGATCTTGGAAGTTAAACAGGATCACCTTTGGCTAGTACTTGGATGGGAGACTGCCAGTGACACCAGGTCCTGTAGGCTGTGGTATCATCACACTTACTTTTTTGAATGAAGAGATTTGCATTTCTGTGTCGATACAGAACCGATTCAGAATTGGTTTGGTGTTCCTATTCCTTTTACAGAGATCGAATCTCTCAATGCCCTTTTAACCCTGTTGCCATTCACATTTGCCACTGTATCAATTTAAAATGGAGGCATCTCCATTTTTGGGAACGATGCAACGCAATCCAAATTGATTCAGTAGTGTCACACTACCGAACATGCAGATCATTGTGGCTCTTAAAAAAAGAATAGCTAAGGGGTCCAGTGCCAAATGCACAGTGTAAGTGGGCTTTTTGGTCATTTCCCCGCAAATTGCACCAGTGCAGTTGAAGCAA